TGGGAAGAACATGAGAACACCGATCTGGATTGCATTAATCTACTGGAGATTTAATGACCAGTTTGTGAACGCCAGAGAGATTGTACGCTGTCAGGCTGGATGATTAGCTGTATTAACCCTTGTGTTATCATGTCAGTATTCTTGCAAGCCAGATTTGCTGTAATATAAGAGAGAAGGATGTACATTATGAAACACAGTCTTCTGCTTTCATGCCACATTTGAATCTTGCAGGCTGCAGAAAACAAACCTACAGGTATGTCTTTTTTATCTCAGATCTCAGTTCAGTTTTTGCTTTGTGTATTAGCAGGCAAAGCCTTGACTTTCATCAGGTGTCCATTTACTGTTTATTCACACAACATCCTTACAATTGAAACCACCAACAAAAGCTCTGCATGGCAACCTTTAGAAAACAACTGGGTGAGGCGTCTTGCATGAAACTCAAACTGCAAACACTAATCCATGCGAAAGTCTGTAATTTGTATTATTATGGAATTTGTTTGGCCTGCAATGCTCCACTTCATCCAAGCAGTGAGCTTTGAGGACGAGTGGCATCTTGTTTAAATCTCGCCACCAGCTCTGGATTTACACACCTCACTTCTTCTTTCACCCTTTTCTCACCTGCAGGCGGACCCTCCCCAGTCTGCCTGAACGTATCCCAGCCTGTCCCCACCTCTGCAACAGGCTCTCATCTAGTTACACGCTTTGGTTTGTCATCACATAATCCAGGAAAACGTGTCTTGAAAGTCACAGGTGCCCTGTAATTAGACTTCTCTCATTTCTCTTTTATTTCTGATTTTTTTTACCCCCTCCCCTGTCATTTGTGCCCTTCTCTTACTGCGCTTCCCCCTAATGTTTTACCCCATTCGCTAACTTATTCCTCAAACAGGGGAATACAAATCAGCCCCAGGGGTGAGCAGATGTCTGCCAGCCAGTCAGAGATGCAAGCAGGAATATGATCCCTGAAGCAGCACATGGAAAGATTTAAACCCTGGCGTGAGGGAGCCTCTACAACTCTTAATCGATGAACCTACCAGAATGGGTTAGGTTTTCAGTGTCTTGCAAGCGTATGTGATACACCAGTGCAAATTAGTTTGTGTCTGGGAAGTAGGAGAAAAACAATGAAACATGCTAAGGTACTCAGCCCCCTTAACCTAAAACATTCGGATGCATCCCGTCTCCAACACATCTGAATGAAATGGATGGTTAATGACCAAGGCTTAAGGAGGTAAATTTGATTCAGGTGTGTTGGAGCAGGGACACATCCGAATGTTGCAGGATATTGGCACTGGAGGAGTTGGGAACACTTTTAAAATGCTATGTGTGAAAACAATTACATTGCGCATCACCCTAAACAAATTATTCCCATTGCAACTCATGGAGATGGAAGAATCATCAACCATTTAGAAGAAAGAACGTACATATGTTAGATTGCTCTGCATACAGTCTGACTGGTCTTGAGCTATTTTGCAAAAGAGAAAAATGGGAAAAATGTGGAAGAGATATGTCCCACTGCTGGTGGTTCTACAAAGACTTTGGGAGACTGAATGTAAACGCCTGCCAAGCTGTTAAGACGCTTATTTTTTCAGGAAAGTACTGAAAGCCGTTTTTTTCCCCCTTCCACTTCAAATTTATGCTGTACCATGTTGTCGCTGTCTGTTACATAAAATCCAAATAACGTGGTTTGTGTTTGTAATGTGACAAAATGTGAAAGGTTCAAGGAGCACTAATGCATTTGCAAGGCGCTGTACTCTGGCTCTAAGGTTTAAAAGAAGTGAGGGAGCAGCTGTAACCCAAGAGAAAAGCAGTGGGAGGAAACCTGATTTGGATTGATGAGCCTGGAAGCCCGGTGGGTGTGTATTTCAGTGTGATTTCAGCTAAACACAATATATCCAGAGATTTTCACTGCCTGGCTTCTCAGGTTAGTAACGGAGATAATACTCCACAGCAGGTTGGAACATTGATAAGAGCTCTGCTCCAAAAATGACCCTGTAGGAGAGTAAAATCATCTCTGGAATTTATTACTCTCAGCTTTTCTTCCCCCTTTTTCCCAAGAAAACTACGAGCAACCCTAATACAAAATGTCACCATGTTCTCTCAAGCGCATGGCTTTAATAAAATTTGGTCGAGACAGAAGACTGTTGCCATGAGGATTTACAGCTTTGCCCACTGAGATGGAACACAGCTGACGAAATGTTGGTACTAAGACCATTTGCAAAGTGGCTGCTGCAAAATGAGATATATTACATATGTTATGCACTTCACGGCATGGTCACCTCTTGTTTGGTCAGTCACTGATGAAATCTGTTGTGAAGACTGATATTTTTCTCTTATGTAGCTTGCAACTGTTTGCAATTAGGATGTCAACTCCTGCAGCACAGCAGCTGACATTTACAGTGATTACATGTTTATGCTGTTCCCAGAGACGCTGCTTTCACCAAAACTGTTCAGTCTTCTCATTAAAGCTGGCCTCTGTAGCAAAGGGAGGTAGTGTGAGTTTTGCAAACGTTTGAAGTCCAAAATATAAATCATAAATTATATTGTAAGCACCATGTGTCACAAAGTTCAATATTAAACCACATGTGTGTCTTTTCCCATGCATACACTATTTAAAAATGGCAAAAAAAAGAGCATGCAGAAAAAGTTTTGGTGTTGACAAAATACAGTCAGACAATCCATCCATCCATTTTCTTTACACTCTTGTCCCTTAGTGGGGTCTGGAGGGGTGCTGGTGCCCATCACCAGCTAACATTCTGGGCGAGAGGCGGGGTTCACCCTGGGCAGGTCGCCAGTCTGTCACAGGGCAACACAGAGACAAACAACCATGCACACATTCACACCTAGGGACAATTTAGACAGACTGATTAATGTTTTTGGACTATGGGAGGAAACCGGAGTACCTGGAGAAAACCCACGCATGCACAGGGAGAACATGCAAACTCCATGCAGAAAGACTGGGGCTGGGAATCAAACCCAGAACCTTCTTACTGCAAGGCAACAGCTCTACCAACTGCGCCACTGTGCAGCTCCTAAGACAACCCAACCAACCATTAAAAAGTTCTGTCAGTTTCCTTAATGTATTCCTCATCACTTCTACTAAACAATTTCCGACCAATATGGACCTGGCTCAGGAGCCAGAAAATGAGTTTCTTCATGAAAATGATTGAACGCTGTTGTGGCCATGGCATCGGATGAAGGGGGTCAGCAATCCTTTGTGTAGTTTTGAGCATGTCAGCACACACATACGTGTGGCTTTTTGGAGCCTCTGGTCTTCCTTCCTCCTGCGGAAAGGCTGTTGGACCAGCAGACAAACACAAAGCACCACTCAAGGCACCCAGAAGTCCAACACACAGGGACATAAGCTAAGGAAAGAGGCCACCAACTTTCAACTGCAGCACATGTTGCTTTGGATATGGGTGTGTATGTCTAAAGTGCATTAGAATTGGGGTTGTGGCCGGGGTGTGATTCCACTGGTTGGTGACATCAAATCTGTCTCCCCAACCCCAAAGCCCTACATGTCTATTGATCTTTAAAATTGAGGTGCAGGACAGGACCAAACATGGCAGAGTTGGGACACTGCAAAATACGCCACCATTGCCTACAAGGAGGCCCATTGTCTCACATCCCAGGGCCCTCCTGAAGTGTGGTGTTGCACATATTAGGAAGAGGTGAGTGGGTGCAAACACGCTGGCACAAGTCTTAGGAACCAGCATCCAACCAGCCTCTATTTATCCCACCTGTGCCCACACCAGTACAGCGCCAGCTGAGGCCCCAGCAAACCCCAAAGATTGCCAGGGGATTGTCCTCATTCAAACTTATTTTCAAGATTCTTTGAGACATTTTTCTGTGATGTCTCTGAACAAGTACTTTTTTATTCTGAACCTTCCTAATGACAAATGTCTATTTACAATCTGACATTTTAAAGTGAATATTTTAAGCTTACCAAGATATAAAATGTTTAGAGTATATATTAGGTTGGTCACTGGTTCGGCTTTCACATTTTTAGACAGATAGCATTCCTCTGAACTTATCCCTCAAAGACTTTAACTTGACCTGGACTCACCTCTTAAATACTTGTGCATTGATAAGCACTTCCTTCTTAAATTCTTAGGAAAAAACATTTCCTTACCCCTCAGTAATTTGTGTCTGGACTTGGATATGCCCCTCAATTTGTTTGACACAACTTGGATTTGAAATCTCTGCTTTACGTCAAAACTTATATTCAAAACTATTGTCATTTTTTTAACATTTCAATTAATCCAAGGGCCCCTTAATGTATTCATAGATATAAGACCATATCTATGTCTCTCAGCATTCCTCAATAGCTTTTTATTGCCTTGTACTATATAATGGTGTGTAACCTCGCAGCGCTTTGTTTCATGCTTGTTGCACAGTTCTGCTTTTTCGAGGCTGTTTGTGAAGGAGTTATGAGAGTGTATTTGTCCAAATTAAACAAAGCCTTCCAACCTTTTCTTTTGAAGGTTACAAATGACCCAACTGTATTTATAACCTGACATTTTAAAGGGTTTGATTATTTACCAAGACTCTATTTGTTATACTACCAACTGGCTCAAGTTTGATATTTTCAAAAAAGAAGAGCGAAACTTGCTTAGTTCCAATAAGAGATGTTGAGTAAAACATGCAAACAGTGTTTTTCCAAAATAAATTCACGTGTGCCCATTGGAACTTTATCTTTTGTTAAAATAAAAATAGAAGTACACAACACTACTTTCTTGTTTATGTTTTTGTTTCATCCTCGTCACATTGGAGTCACCATGGAGAGACTTGGCTTATTTGCCTAAGGGTTGCCCTTTTTTCCTTAACAACAAAGGGAAAGCCCCCCTCACACCCACAAATCCACACCGCAACACACACACACGCACACACACAGACCACAGTTCTTATCCCTCCCTTCTTCCTTGAGTTTGCCCTTTTTAGGCTGTTCCTCTTTTTTTTTCCATGTGAAGGAGGGATAGTATGACAGATTTCCTGCTCCTTGCAGACCCGAGCCGGGAGAGAGAGGAAAACTCTGTTGCTCACTCAGTCTCCAAGTTTGAGAGAAAGTTACCACCTCTTCCCCAGACTCTGAACACGCACTGCAGGCAGAGACACACACACACACACCCACACACACACAAGCTCACACACAAGTTGTTCAGGACAGCAGAAAGCGTGAAACAGCCAGGACTGCTTGTAAATGTGTTTGTGGAGGGAAAGAAGATTTGCAGTTCGCCGGAGGATCTCGGCGTGGACTGAACAACTTCGTCTGGGACGTTTTCCTCTCATCACCTACCAGTGAGTTTGACAGTTTGTCTCAGTGTGTATGTAGTACCATAGAAACCCCTGCGTAACGTACAATGCAGCCCTCTGTTAAAGTTTAAATGCTTCGCTGATTGTTAAAACTGTAGCTGTTATGGAGGCGCCTGTGTTGGAAAACTTCCTTATTCTTGAGGGAAAAAAACTAAACCATGTCCTACGATTGTTTCCACTTGGTAAGCTCTGTTGAATATGAAAGAATTTGGGAGAGTTTTGGAAACAAAGACTCACTCAGCTTTTACATGTGATGCTCATAATAACAACCATATGTTGTCATAGATTAAACTACTGTTTTTGTCAAAACCAGGCATTATCTGAGCAGGATATCCATCCAAACAGAGCATCATTGTGTGGTCCTCCCTCATACGTGTGTTTTCCGTTCGCAATAAGTGAACCGGTGCAAAGAGAATATTGAAGCAGAGGGACAGACGAGCCTGCTAATGGCTTTCCGGTGCAGCTGTACGTTATTTAATGACTGGTTTGTTGCTGTTTTGATGAAACAAAAACAATCTGTTGTGTAAATTCTCAGGTCAGTTTTTTTTTTTGTTTCTTTGTCAGAGATAGGTTTTTAAAAGCAAGAACTACACTTGTGCACCGCTTCATATGGTTCTGGTTCTCATTCAACTTATATAATCTTCTACAAGCGTTCTTGCACAACATCAGCTGTCCATATGCTTCAGTCAGTTTTCATATCTCCTTCTGTCTGTGACGGATGCTTGTGGTTAGCACCTCCTGTCAGAGGAGACGGAGCAGGAAGGTGATGGGTGGAGGTGGGATTGGGCCTCTTCTCTTCTGTGTCTAATCCAGACATTCTGAACAGGCTGGCAGCACTTTAACTGCATCTCCTCTTCTCAATCTGATAACCCCTCATTGAATGAGTGTTAAAGTCAGGTAAATAATACCTTCGAGCATAGACGCCTGAGGAGTGTTGCCTTCTCTGTGACCTCTTTAGGCTGGTCAAGTTGGCAGACTTTCCTTTTACCCAAAGCCCCACAGTCTCATTTATCACCCGGCATGTCTTATCTGTCCAGAGTCTGGTTGTTAACGTACTTTATTTACCCTGAGGTCAAAGGCTGTGATCTGATTTGACTCGCTTGTCTAAACTCCCATGGTGCCAGCCTGTTTGGAAGGTGATTGCACAAAGTTTCAGTCCAGTCTCAGTCAGGGTAAACTAAGAGAAAAGGGCACCAAAGACAAGAGATAAACACAACTTCCTGTTAAAGACGGGGTGAAAAGTGCGCTAAGGCTGTTTGTAATTATCATTTCACAACAGCTCAAGGCAAGACAATTCAGTGTGACAGATTAAGTTTGTCACATATCAGTTTTGTAGCCACACTACTTTCAAAAGCTCTTGTCGTGGGTAAGAGCAGTGGATCTATTTTGATTTTTATTTTTAAAGATATTGCTCAGTATTCTGCACTTAGGAACTGGACTTAAACCTTCTAACATTACATATTTTCCAATGAGCAGCTGAAATGCAGTAAAATTGGCTAAACGGAGCAGAAAGTCACACCACATCAGATGATCATCAGCAGATCTCTTAGACCCCTAGCTATTGTGAACATTCATTATCCAAATATTTCTTCAAAAACCATGACTCATGTGTCTATTGCTGACTGTTCAAAGAAGGTTTTATTAGCTGCTTTACCCAACATGTAGTCTGAGAGTATAAAAAACTACATTGTTTCTCAGTTTAATATATTTTTACACAATGCGATGACTGAATATACAAATTACATTCCTCCCATGATAATAATGAAGTATCTAAAATTTACTTTGAAGTTTTTTTCTTTCTTCTGTCACAACAACATGCACTTCTCAAACTTTTTGCCTACATGTACATTTATTAAGATCCCCAGTTTAGCTTCGACAGAATGTTTGACAAGTTAAACCTCAAACGTTTGCCTCAACATTCACCCCTGTTCTTGTCACTTATATGAATACTGACATGGTTAAGCCCAGACATATTCAAATCCCTGACAGATTTAAAGTAATTCCTAAAATTTCAACATGTTTCTCCCGACATGCTAGTTTTGAAAAGGTTTAGCCAGAGTCCCGTTTGAATCGAACACAACACAAAAACGTTAAGGTTAAGGCTCCTGCTGCTCTGTTTCATATTTGGCCTGCCACAGTGGGGGTCATTTTGCCCCTTCTCAGGTCGGTACTTGTGCAAATTTGGTTGTTGCACAACTAGAGTACAACATAAATAACTTTGATTTGAAGTAAATTTAAAGTAACGTGACTCCAGTAAATATTAATCAATTGGATGTTAGGAATACATTTTCACAGTCTCAGCTTTATCAAATGACAAAAAAAAAAAAAAAAAAAAAAACTTTATTGGAAATAAAAAGTTTTTAAAAAAACTTTACA